GTAACTAGTGAAACAACAAAAACTGTTTAAAGAAAAAATTAATAATCTTTCCTGATTCATTTTTTGTTCCCAACTCTGTGAAATAACCAATGTGAAGAATATTGTATGAATTATTTTCTATAGCTTTCTTCATGTTCATATAAACATAAACAATATATTTATTCATAAATACTCATTACCATGAAAATTATCGTTATTCTTCCAGGTTAATAGCTATAGATATAATTCATTCTTGTCCTAATGGTTGCATTATCTTCAATAACATGGATGTATCATCTGTCCATATCATATGATATGCATGTAGTCAAATTCATGAAATCAGTATACTTTTTTTTTTTTTATACAAATTTTACCGAAAGTACAGGATGCTCAAAAAACGCTGAAGACCTATCTGGTACCAGCTTTGGTAACTGAGAAAGAAAATTAGTGAGGTACTCCTGGTTTTTTGCCCTCTAGAAAGTCACTGACTATAACAGGAGAGACATAACAGTAAGTTGCTTTTTTTAATTTGAGAGAACCTTCTCAGAGAATTTATAGTAACAAATGCTTTCAAAGCAACAGTTTAAAAGAAGTAATATATCACTAGCAATTCATTCTTCATTGTTTCCAATGTATGATCAGTACTTAGTAACAACAGAAGACCTCCCTAGATGATGACTCAAAAACAAATTTCCAACCACTCAGGGCTCAGATAAAGGACCTTACTCTTGAGACCTCAAAGTGATTTACATTTGCACTAGTACTTCTATTGTAATATATGATATTTATAAACTAGCCTTATTCCATGGAACTCTAAATAATACTCCATATATATCATTTGACTTTTTTGCATATGTCTTTAAGATGGGAGAAAATGTCCCCTACAGATAAGGAAAATGATCTTAAGACAAAACTGACAACACCTGAATCAAGTCTCCAGGTAGCCGCATACTCTTCCCTTTCAATTATACTTGCTGCCTCGCTAGTGGTAAGTGCAATTATAATGTAGACGGTATTATGTCATCAATTAGAGAGTCTCACTTAGCTTGATATAATCAGTTTTTATTTAAAAATGAGAGCTTTCCATGCAAACTGTTTTTCTATCTCCTAAAAGGCTGGTGACTAAAACTTCACTGACAAGTTTTTTTAGATGAGATGAGCGTAAGTTAACTACTGAGCAGCCAGAGTCTAGTCAGGCCCCTCAGACTTTCCAGTGCTACAAAAAGATGAGCAAATATGGGGTTAGATGTGTAACCCAGGTTCATAGCTGTACCTGCCAACCCTAACCTAGAGAAGGGAAGAGAACACTGACGGTAACAATAGCAACAGTAACAATGCTACATATCTATCACTTATTGATTATCTAACAAAGTCTTAAAATATCAAGTAATGTAAGCAAAGAACAATTTAGTGAAATTTTAGCAAAGGTTAGGCAAATTTTATATGGTCAAGATAGTACATTTGCAAACAAGTAGAAGACCTTGTCAAAAATCTGAATCTTCTAATATCCAGTAACTCTCTTGTCTGAGCCAATTTATTTTCTTACATCTTTGAAGACATTTTATTATAAAAGGTTATAACTGAGCATTCGACACTAATCAGAAGAGTGATCTTCATTCTGTATTCAGTGTCTCCTGACCCCCTGAAAGAAACTCAGCTCAGCATGGCCTCCTCCCTTTCCAGTTGACTCAGAGAATGGTGCTTTCAAATCGTCTTTTGGGATACATGAAGGGGTGCATTTAGAGCCAACCTGAAGTGTAACACTCTTTATTGTTCCTGAGAAACGTGTGCCTAATTCCCTAGAAATTTACTGTTTCAAAGAGTCACAAGCTCCTGATTGCTTCTCATCAGTCTTGAAGAGATTAGATAAGCTTCCTCCCTCTTACAAAAGCTTTTTCTTCATTCAAAATTCCTTTGAGAACAAAACATTGAACCAGAATTGGATTTTTAACAAAATATTATAAGATTGTTGAAAACATTTTTTTTCTCCTGAGGAGACCCAGTAATTCAAAAGACATATTAATGCACATTCTGATGTAGGACTACTAGCAACATATTGCAAAGAGCAAGGTAGTAACAAAGAACAAAGTCCCTTCTGCTAAGCAGGAAAGATATTTTTTAACTGGCTTACTTTAGAAGACTTGAATGGACTGCTAAGGGCTTTCACACAGATAATCTCAGAAGTCAAAGCTCAAGAAGCAGGGGGAAGAAACAACTACTGGAGGACCCCAACGGGTAGCATTGCCTCTAATTACTGTAAAATTGTTATGTATACTGAAGCCCCACATCCCATTCCCAGACTCAGATTATTATTCTACAGTGAGATTTGGCTTTAGAACACTTGAGTGTGTCAGTAATAGAATATGACCTCTTCAGAAATGGGGGTGTTTACATGCAGTGCTCCTAAAGTTGGCACACATGGAAGGTAATTCAGGGTTATGTTTGCAGTGGCACCCGTCATCAGCAATGTTTCAATCCCAGTCCATCTCTCTGTACTGTTTTTTTTTTTTTTTTTTTTTTTTTATTATACTGTAAGTTCTAGGGTACATGTGCTGTGCAGTATGTGCAGGTTTGTTACATATGTACATTCATTTTCAATGTAGTCCTCAGTGGTCTTTAGAAAATAGTGCTAGCAATTCATAAGCATGTTTGAATTTTCAAAGTTTTGCTTTTTTTTTTTTTGAGATGGAGTCTTGCTTTTCTTGCCCAGGCTGGAATGCAATGGTGCAATTTCGGCTCACTGCAACCTCTGCCTCCCAGGTTTAAGTGATAATCCTGCCTCAGCCTCCGGAGTAGCTGGGATTTCAGGCGCCCGCCACCATCCCCGGCTAATTTTATTTGTATTTTTTAGTAGAGACGGAGTTTCACCACGTTGGTCAGGCTGGTCTCGAATTCCTAACCTCAGGTGATCCACACGCCTCGGCCTTCCAAAGTGACGGGATTACAGACATGAGCCACCATGCCTGGCCTCAAAGTTTTACATTTTTTATAGTAGCAATAAGGCTGAGTACCTTCATAGGCCTTTACCTCTGATCACACTAAAGGCTTTAATTAAGTTAGTCTTAAGAAGAAAAATGTAAACCAAACTCCAATTATTAAACATTGGAATTATTCCTTCTTATTGGTCTAATAATTACAATTTTTTACTTCTCATTCATTTTTCAAAGATTTTTTTTTCAGTATGATCTAGGTTATTGGAACTATTATATGTGATATGATGGGGTGTTGGGCACAGACACACAGTAAATCAAGATGATGCAGAAATGAAAGTCTAATGCTAAAGATTTTACCAATCTTCCCACATCCCCATTTTTCAAAGGAGGAAACATATAGAGGACATTATATTTATTTCCAGCCATGATGATATAATTATAAAGAAACCTCTCAATGCACTCTCTCTTTTTTGGGAAGTCTATGACAGCAGGTATTACAATTCTACTTTGCCAGATGAGGTGTGTAAACCATAGAAAACTAGCATCCAAGAGAAGAACAGACTTGGATGTGGGTAGAATAATAGGAGGAACACTTACAGTCAGATAGATCAGAGTATGAATGCAGGCTCAGGCTTTTTTCCACTAAAATGTATAGAGCAATGTAATCTCACTGAGCCTCAGTTTCTGATACTGTGAACTAAGGATTATGACATCAATCTACAGTCAATGCTGTAAGAATTAAATGTGAAGAGTTTTATGGAGAGGGTATCTGCTAAATGTAACTATTTTTCTTACCCTCCTAAATTTTTTCAGTCTTTTAGACATTTGGGCTATTAGAGAACTAATGACCTCTGTGACCACACTAGCTCAGGCAATAACTAAATGCAACAGTTTTAAAAACACCAAGCAGGAGATAGCACAGAGTTTGAATCAGTTAGGTCTAACAGTAATACACACCTCACTTACTGGCTTTGCAATTTTAGATGCTACTTAATCGTTCTGGGGCTCAGTTTTTTCATTATAAAATGGGAATGGTTCCTACTTTGCTGGGTAGTTGCTGAGTGTGGTAGCAAGGATTACAGACAACTCTTTATAAAGTATTTGGTATATTAGGTAAAAGTATTGTAATATATATTGTTCAGATTTTTTATTAATTAAGGTTTGTACATAGACTCATCTCCTGCACTTAATATTTCTTTTTCTACCCAAGACCTTGAAAGGGTTATGACAGGGGCTTTGATCACATATTAGCTGGTTTGGCTGTGGTAATTTAGCTCCTGAGTATTGGGATTACAGTACCAGCCCTGCCATTAACTATTTAACTATGACTTGGATAGGAATTCTAGGCCTGAATTTTGTTCGTCTCCAAAATGAAGAGGCTAGAATAAATAATTCCTAAGATTCCATGTCGCTATAATATTTTCTGGTTCCAGGGTCTTTTTACTGAGCTATAGCAGATAAATCCTCATATCTTTAGAGCTTAAGCTACTTCTCTATGGTTCAATTTCCACATTCCCTCTACTCTATTTCTTCTTTAATTGCAAAAGGGGATAATTTCCATTACTTTGCAAACAAACCAATATCTCTATTCTGGCTTAGTGGCATACCAGGTTATTAATGCATCATACTTAAAAAAAAAAAAAAAGCCTGGATTGTTCTTCAATCCAGAAATCCAGTAATGTTGTAGGTAGTAATAATGAGAATAATGATGATTTATTTTCAAGGTTTTCTATGCCTCCAGGTCCCCGGTCATTGCACATGATAAAATACACCAAAATTAAAAATGAGATTAAGGTTTAACAGATAAAAAATACAGTCTAGGAACAAAACACATTTTTGGTATGCATCTCTACATTACACAACAGCCACTTAAAAAATAAACAAAAATAAGAAATCCATTAACCAACAACAGAATTTAATAATTATTAACTAGAAAGAAAATAAAATTAACTTGACCTTATCTTAGAAGGTTGTTGGAGATCTACTCAGTTTATGCAAGTGAAAAATATGTTTTGAAGTATAAGACCTCAATTTCAGAAGTCCAAGCTCTCCTCAAACTCAGAGGTAAACCTTCAGGAAGGATTTAAAATAAATGTATGGATTTTATTAGCATGTGTATATTATTTACCTTTGAATTAATTTTGCTCTTGTCCTATTCTTGAGCTATCCTTCAATTGGTATTTTTATGTGTATCTACTATGTGCTTTCCCACTGCATTAGGAATAAAATTTAAATTCCTCACTCTGGCATTTCTCTGACCACAACTCCAGCCATTCTGCTTTGCTCACTTTGCTCTGGCCACTCTGAAGTCCTTTTAGTTCTTTGAATACAGAAAGTCTGTATTCAAAGCTTTGCATTTGAATACAGGATTTTGTATATGCAGTTTCTATCTGGAGCTTTCTCCCCTCCCATACTCCCTTCCCTACCCCAAATTCTTCACCTGGCTGATATTAATTTCCGTCCTTCAATGCTCAACTCAAAGGACACTCTCTCTGAGAATTCTGTCCTGAGCACCCAAAGGACAGTATAAGGGATTTCCCCCACTCAATGTTGTCTTGCATACATAACTCTTTACAGGGACCACAGTTTGTAATACTGTAATAATGTTTGCATTTATTTCATGTCTAATTTCCTTAGGAGACTATCAATTTCATGATGAAGGTGTAACGAATCATTGCTATATTTCTAGTATTAAGCATAGTTGAATAATGAGTTAATGATTCTATTGTGGTAGATTCAGTAGGGCTAAGAAATGTTAATTAAATATGGACTATTCCCTTAAAATTTTATTTTCTAGTAAGGGAATAAGGCATACAGATAAAGTGCTATAAAATGTAGAAAGTAATTCGTGTCTCAATAAAAGTGTAGATGAGTATTGTATTAGTTTCTTAGAGCTGCTGTGACAAGTACCACAAATTTGTTATATTTATTATATATTTATTATATTGGGTACTGTCAAAGGCATGATACCAGGAACAAAATTTAACAGTTTTGGAGGCTACAAGTCCAAAATCAAGTTGTCAGCAAGGTCACTACAGGTGGTAAGTAAATTTGGTGGTTAGGGGAGAGTGGATTGTTTCTGTCCAGGTCAAAGAAAGAAGGATTCATGAAATTAATAACATTGGAAAAGAACTTGTTAGGATGGGTTGGTTTTGCATATGAAAAAATTGAATGATGGACATTCCAGATGCTGGAACAATATGAATAAAGGTAAGTGAGAGAACTTGGCCTGAGTATATAGTACATATAACCGGGTAGGTGATAATTAACTAAGAAATGGGATTAGAGTTAGATTTTAGGATGTCATGTATATTGATTAGTGATTGTTATACATAGAATTATTGAAAGTTTTGTCTGAACAAAGGCGACATAATCTTAGTGCTCCTGTTTTAGAAAAGTTAATGGGGCAGCAGTGTTTAGGATAAACTGATCTCCCTGCTCCATCTCTTCCAATTAGGAGATTTTTGCAAGCAAGAGAAGATAAAATCCTGACTAGAACAGAGATATCAAAGAAAGAGAATGAGACTTGGCCACTTACTGGACATCTAGGAGGAAGAAGAGGAAAGAATGATATATTTTGAATAAAGATGTCCTAGGGAATTGGAGTTAGAAAAGCTAGGATAGTCAAAAGGAGGATGGTTTTTAGGTAGAGGAATAAATTTAGCTTTGATATACTGACTCAGAGAAACTAGAGCGATTTCTAGTTGAAGATTTAAATAAGGATGTTGGAAATATAGGACTAAAGTTTTGAAGACATATCAGGATGGGAGGTATAAATTTCTGAGTTATCCATGTGAAGTAATTGAAGTCATGTAATTCTGAGAAGCTGTGTCAAGTCATGAGAAAAGTATGAATGTGGAGTATGACAGACGTGATCACACTCTGTGTCTACTATTTACCTGTTGTATAACCTGGGGCAAATTGCTTAACTCCATCATTTTCTCATATATAAGGAAGAAGATAATTTTATCCCTTAATTAGGATTACATGAGTTAAATGCTTAAAAGCTCTGCCATGTTTAAGCTGCTTTTATATTTTGGGGCATAATTCTCAATAAGAAATACACTTATTTTGCCATCTAGTATCTTAAAAATATGTGATGTGCTTTAAAAAATATTTATTTTCCTGTGATTCTAGTACATGTGATCTTTTAAACTTTCATGGCCTACTAATGAGTTACAACCCACACTTTGGAAAACTGATCCTCCCATACATTATGGTTGTCATCCAATTCCTCCTCTAGTCACTGGCCCCAACAAGCATTCTGAAATCACACCAATACTATTCAATGTTCTCTTGACTTTCATTTATTACTCCCTCTTCATAGGCTTCTTGCTAGTATCACATTATTCCTTCATGGCCCAGAAAAAAATGATAACCATTTACTTCCTCTGCTATACCATATAACGTTTTGTCTATAAGAAACATGTGCTTTTCCCAGATAAATTATGAATTCCTTCATAACAGAAAATATGTGTTATTTATCTGTGTTTTTTGGTAAAATATTTTGTTCATAGGAGGCACAGAATATTAATTCATTATTATAAAGAAAAGGGAGAAGAGGTTTGAAAAGAGAACTTTGCTGGACATCTACATCTAGGACCCTGCTCTGGTATCACCATGTCTCGATTCCTCCATCTTCTCTATATGCCAAAGCTTCCATGGAATTTTTAAAGGGCAGAACTATTGTCTCTTTGTCTTTGAGGCACAAAGACTCAGGCCACTGACTTTCAGTATATGGCGGAGAGAGGGAAGGCCTGGATGGGTTAATTAAAATAATGGAAGAAACTAGAAAATGTACAGAATTTAGCTTTGGGTAAAATAACAGAAAGGCTTTGGATTGGTAAATGACAGAATCCAATGAAAGCAATGTGAAACAAATGACCAGAGCAAGTAATTCATTTTAAAATATTAAAGCTTATTTCTTTTTTTTTTTTTTCTGACTCTGGAAAACGTGCCTCTGATGGAAATGACCCTGGTAACGGTGACATTCTGACACCATGCATGGTGCACACCCTTGGGAAGTTTGAATTCCACGTCACAACGGCTCTGCTCAGATTACTGGTTTCATCATGCCTGTAAGCCCAATTAAACTACTGGAGTTTCTAGTGGTCTTATGTCCACTTTGTATATCATCATAAAGAATAATAAGTCTACCAAATAAATTTGCCTCTACAGGACTCGTTGCTCAACCAAAGGCATGATACCAGGAACAAAATTTAAAAAACAAAAACAAAAACAAACAAACAAACAAACAGAAACCTCTTTTGATATCAACCAACGTTTTCAGGATACTCCTTTATATATGAATTTGAGATTTTGATGAAAGGGACTACAGTTCAACAAGTCTCAATAAATGAACCCAAGGCAATTTGCTCCTCAGGAAACATTTCTCAGACCCTGACTGTAGAGAAAAGGTTGAAGCCTCAGATTGTAAATTCAGATAGACTACCACGTCTAGGTCTCTAAGGATGAACCATGATGGTGGTCAATATACTTTGTGTAACGTTTGTGCCCTACCCTGTGCCTCAATTTACTTATTTAAAAATGAAGCGATTAGACTTTGTTTCTTACATCCTTTCCCACTATAATATTTGGCAATGCTCTGCCCTTACATTTGCCTAAACTTTTTAATCTTAAAATATATAAAATGTTTTTTATAAAATTCTTTTATGTCATTAAATGTTATTGAACATGATAACAGTACAATTCACTAAGCCTAAATTTCATCATTTTAGTATTGCCTCAGAGGTCAAGTTTTATGAGAGCCTTAATTTGCATCACCAGAAGCTCATTTAATAAAAATGAAAGAATCCCTTTTGGAAATAAATTTTAAAAAGTGATGGTGGGGAAGAGGGACAGAGAAATATATGTAAAAAAGAAAACAAACAGGAAACTGAACTTAGAAGGTGTCAAATGGTTCTGAGTTCTAAAGAATATTGTGGTCATGTTAGTGTTGAAAAGCTGGTCCTAGCATTTTATGCACTAAAAGTACATTCTGTTAGTGGTTCCTTCCCAAATCCCTGGCCTCTTGACCCAATATTTATTGTACCACTTGTCCCGTTTCCCTGAAACAAAATCTATCATATGGCAATAAGGCAAACTGAGGTATCAGAGCATCATCTATCCTGGAATTGGGCATATTTATCCGTGGAGTCGACTCTAGCATGTGGAATATAAAACACATAACTTAAGTGGAAAACTGCTGAAGACCATTTCATAGGTGAAAAGGATGTGGTATGAATGGGCAATTCTCACTTTGGTCAGGAAAAAGAAATGTAAAGTCAATGAGGTAAGGGGCTGGGAGACGGATGCCTCGTATGATATGATAAGCAGAAAGGTTGTGTTTGGCAAATTCCTTGGCCACCTTCTTCCTGACTGTCAAAAACTGTATTCAACCTGTGTTTATAATAAATATTCTCTGATAGCATGAACCCTGGATTTCTGACTTTTAAAAAGTTTTGAAATTAAACTAATAACAGCTGTTTCATGATTACATATTATTGTATCAAGGGTTAGGAATTACAAAAATGAGTAAGAAAGAGCCCCTGCTCTTAGAGACCTTACTGTCTGTGGGTTTGAACTGTTGTAGTTATGACAACAATAACAATAATCATCATTTATTCACTGATATCAGCCAGGCACCATGCTCAGTGGACGACATACACAAACTGCCAAAGTCTCCTTCGTTTCACCGATGCAATGACAGTGAGGTGACCTTGCTCTGTCCATGCATCATCTCTTAACAAAAATGAACTTAGCAGGAATTCACACCATAGGCAGAGACATGTAAGCAACTCCAGAACTGTCTACTCTCAACACACAAGAACTACAGTCAACAAAAATGCAGTGAACTGGAGTGAAAAATGGAAGCAATTGTCTGAATCACCTTTAGTGTACTCTGTTGATTGGGGGCTGTGACACTCTAAAAACCATGATGCAGTAGACTCCACATCTGGCATTCCAACAATGGAAGGTTAAGTGTTTTAAGACTCTTAGTGAAAAAACTTGCAATACATTAACTGTAAAACTGAGGAAGACATCATAAGCTTCTGGATTTTATTACCAAAATGTACATTTTGATCTAAAATTAAAAATAAAAACAGATTGACTTTCCTTGTAGTATTTCACAACCTTTGAGTGCAGCATTAAAAATGCTTTTCTTTTTTTCTTCACCAACTATAAGCTTCTGTTTTCTTACCCTGGGCGTCTGAATCTTTTATATGCTTGGGTTCTATTCACTGCCTGTTATTCAGACGTTGAAATCCCAAATGTTAATTGTTCTTCCAAGTACATTGACAAAACAGCAGCTAAATAAGGGTAGACCAGACTGTGGTAGACTCTGACATGCATTTATGGAACAATGGGGCTCTGAGAGACAGCCTTGTAGCTCACGGGAAGACATAAGATGTGCTATTTTGACTGCTTCGTAGCAGAATGGGGAACACACGCACACAAGGGAATTATGCATTTTACTTAGTTTTGCCCAAAGTCCTCAAGGCAACAGAATCTTGTGATGTCATCATGAACTTTATTTCTCTCCATTTCCATTGACACAAAGGCTAAAAATTTCTAATGACATCACAAAGGAAAAAGAAATCTACTTTGATTCCATAAGAAATCTTTCACCTTCAGTGAGAGGGGTTTAAAAAAAAAAAAAGCAAGAATCTTTCCAGACAGGGTGTGTGTCACTGTGCTCATGCACAGTGGGTGACACCCTCTCTAATGAAATTCAAACCAGCCAAAAGAAAGGATTCACAATTTAGGTTGGATAAAAAAGACATCCTGAATATTGAGACCAACAACTTTTTTTTTTTTTTTTTTTTTAAGAAGAAAATCATTTAAACATATATTTCTTCAGGGACATTCACATTTTTACTCGTGTCTGGTTACTATGTTACCAATGTTTTTGTCCTTTTTTGGGTTGGTCACAGAAACACAGAAGAAGGTACAGGAAGCTTTGACTTATAGGAATACAGTGCAGCTCAATCTTTTGTTTTTAAGGTGCAGTGATTTCAGTCTCTAAATGTAACTTCAGGCAGTCTGAAAAGAAACAGGTTAAAATCTCTTTCAGTTATAATTGGTATTTCAGATTTAATTAAAAATTAAACTTTCATAATGTTTCACCATCCAAAGCAATGCATTATCAGTCAAGCGTGGCTTTTCTTTTTTTCTTTTTTTTTTTCTGTTAAGGGGGAAAAAAAAAAAAAAATCCCTCTTCCCAGAGTAGTTTTTTAATGAAAAGAAAAGGATCTAAAGAGAAGAAAAAAAAGCAATTTTGAAAAACAAAATATGCCTCCATGTTAAGGACTTCATAATGATATGACTAGAAACTCAATGTTTCTGAATTTTAGCTATATTCTGATTAAAAAAAAAACAACTCCTAAACAATTTTTACAGCCTAAAGATTACAGAAAATATTAAGTTCAGGAAATAAAGAAGAAAATCTATGTATCTGAATACCCATATTAAAGGGAAATTATGACTTCAAATAGAATTGTAAAAAATGCTAGATCTGCTACTTTCCAGTGACTGAATTGCTGGTGAGATAGATGGTGAAGTAGGGCTAAATGAACATATTTAACAACACAAAATGGCCATTGAAATGTACTGTATTATGGGTTTAGCGTGCCCCATTTCACATCATATTGTACATCTTGTCACATGCAGCCACTGCTGTTTGAAGCAGCACAGGAAGACCAAGAGAGTCTGAACAAGACTCCCTGGTTTAAATAACTGTAACCACATTGCTTATTTTTTAAATATGTATTTTTAATTCTAAATTAAGTAAGAGTCCAGGCATTAAGAGCTCCAAGTGTATAATAAATATTGGGCTTAAAATATACTATTTTTTCATCATTTCTTTCTTCAAACAACACCATTTATAAATAAGATAATAGTATTTTTTAAATTAAAAAAATCACACACTAGAATTAAATCATCCTTACTTTTAGCTTTGAAAAACTGATACAATGGGATTTAGAAAAATTTAATTTTTAAAATATAAATGAGGTAATATAACTCGCTTTCTTTCATTTCACAGCATGGCAGAATACTTTCTACATATTTGTAACACTAAATGTCATATGTTTATGTCCAATTTCACATTAGTGCAAGGTAATATTTTAATATTTCCCCATAGGAGATCATAATCACAAATCACCCCTGAAATTGTACTATTATTAGAAAGCATATGTAGTTCTTACTTGTGATTCCTGTTTTCTTTTTCTCTTGAAATCTATAGAGGAATATTTTGGGTAATTGTTTTATTTGATATACATAGATTTTAAGTGTAAACATGCTCAGGTTCACACTAAATTCACTCATGAATGAGATCAGATTTAAAAGAAAAATCACTGACATTGACTACTAAACTTTTCCCCCTCCTCTCACATGCCTGAATTAGGCTAAAAATGAACCAGCGTAAAGGCAGAAATTATGGAGGCGTCACCAGGGACAACTGAATGAGAGGAGGGGAGTGCACATATTTCCTTTTAAGGCAGCAAAACATTCATAGAAGAAACTGACAAAAATAACTTGTGCTTAGAAATTATATGATATATAATATAAATATATTGAATAACAATAATCTCTGAAAAATGATTCAGAAATGTAAAAACTGCCCACCTCTGGATAAATCTGAACCACCAACTGGCATTGTTCTAGTCACCAACAAAATACGGTTAGTGAAACGAATTCACTTTCTAGTTTAGACATGAAAAGGTGATAGAAACTAGGCTGAATATTTACATATAAACATTTAACTGACAACTAGTAATTCAATTCAATCAGTCAGTTTTCCTTTTCCTCAATTTGCCAGATGTTGAATGAATTGAACTATCAGCTCAAAATAATTAAATCAATTATATGAGTAGATGGTCAGTGTACCAATTTTCATTTCCCCCCTCCTCCATGCCATTTCTCCTTCTCCTCTTCGATCTTTTTCTCCTATTTCTGCATGTTTCTTCTCTACTTTCACTTTCTTTCTTATTCTTTTTTCCTTCTTTTTTTTTTTTCTCTTGGTGAGGGTAATGAGGCTCAAAAATAACATCTTGTATCCTGTTGAGGGAAACTTGGTCGCAACTATCCTTCCAGATGACAAACTCATTCTTAAATGTCTGTTTCCCAATCCAAAGAAAACAGAGCAGTTGAAAAAATAGAGACTCAACATCACTTACAACTACCAACACCACCCCTCTTAATTCCCATGCTGTATTCATCATGAGGAGAACTGAAATTTATTTACATTATATCTAACCTCAAATAGGACCACAAATAAGACTAATAACAGGACCATTTTGTGGCACTCAGGCAAACGGCTGGGCAAAACAGATGGATCTTACTTTGCGCCAGGACTCAAAAAATATAGTCGCCAACTCACTGTTGGCGACTACATATCTTGGCCCAAAGATGGACCTGGAAGTGGGACCGGTTGTCTTTGATATGAATAGTGCTCCTCTTCTTATCTCCTCATGAACAAATCAGTAACTCTGTCACTATATAGTGAGGTTATCAGGTAGAATTGCTTAAAAGACTGGTCATCAAGGATGTAAAATATTCTGAGGGAATGTCAGGTGAGATGAAGGAACAGAAAGTCAGAAAAAATACCTTATTTTTGGCACTTTTGTCTATTTTCAGCTTTCTGTGTTTTTTAATTCAAATTCACTACTGTACACTGAACCCACCTTTAAAATAGATTTACAGAGTATGTGTCATCAATAAGAAAACTTGCTTCTCGCATTTCAGGTTCCAAAATCTGTTAAAATTTTAAGTCACATAGATCAGTCTCAGTCATTATTAAAATTGACAACCAGTGTCAGACTTCTTTAATCAGAACAAAACTATGTAAGGCTCTATAGATTACAGTCAACATCCAATGATGCACTGAGCAACAGCTCAGTAATCAATGCAAATTACAAAATCCGGAAGAATGCTTTTCTGGCAGAGACCCTTTAGCAAAAGAGTTGTACATTCTGCACTCCTTAAAGGTTCTGAATGGCTTTCCAGAGAAGTAGCAAATGCATTATATTACAGTAACCAATCTTGTAAGTCACAAGGCCACAAACAAAGCCTCTAGTCAATAAAAAAAAAAACCTGAAGGGGGGTGAGAACTATAGATCTTACCACTGACTACAAACAAAGGGCTGCTTCTGACCACATTCTACTTTTTAAAATCCTCACACAGAAGGAGTTTTAGATATCACCAGGTCACAGAACTTCAAGGAAAGAACAACAAAGCATTCCAGCTTAGGAGGTCTATGTTAATTCAGGCACTTCTCTTATTGCTCTTCCAACTATTCAGTACTGATTGTATCTTGCTCCGATTGCTTTTGAGAGTTCACTCATCTCTCTATGATTTATTTATTCAGACATTGTACAGATTTGATTTTTAAGAGACAGCCCTGTTTGTGGTCAGCATAGAAGGCTAATTATAATACTTTAATTATTTATTTTAGTATTTTTTTCTTTTCAGTATTTAAAAACTTTTTATTATAAAAAATTCAAATATATGCAAGAGTACAGAACATAGCAAAATGAACTCTCTAGTACCCATCACCCATTGTCAATTGTTTTTCCAATTATACTCTCACTACTTTTTCTTCAACCAGATCATCTAAAAGACAATCCCACATAGCTTATTATTTTATGCATGAATACTTTACTATGTGTTACTGAAAGATGACAATCAACTAATATCATTCTACATCGAAAATAATAGTAATTCTTTAATGTCATTAAATATCCTGACCATGTTAAATGATTGACTTTTAAATGGTCTTTACTTTTCATAGCTGGTTAGTTTGAATCAGGATCTAAATAAGATCTACACATTATATTCAAATGATAATTATCCTTTAATCTATAAATTCTCCATTCGCTTTTTAAAATTTTAACTTTGTATTTTGGAACAATTTTAGAATTATGGAAAAGTCGCAATGATAGTACAGAGAGTTTCCATATTTCCTTCACTAGTTTCTCCTAATGTTAATATCTTACATAACCATGGTAAATTTGACAAAATTAAGTAATCAATATTGATACAATATTATTAACTAAACTACAGACTTTATTCAGATGTCATCGATTTTTCCATTAATATGTTTTTTTTTTTTTTATCTGTTCCAAAAATCCA